TGGTCTCCCACACTGCACTGGGCTCTGGGGGGCTTTCTTCCATATTGCCTGGAGTCACCTCCAGCAGGTTCCTTCTAAGGCCTCTGCTGCTGTGCTCACCTTGGGGCTATATTCTCTTCCCCCTTGTCCTTTCCTCCAGCCCAAGAGTAGACACAGACTGAGAAGAAGAGTAGATCCCTCCCTTAAGTCCCCACATCACAGCTCAGATGTCAAGGGCTTGCTGGAGGCTCTGGGGGTAATTGGGCACACTCATGGGGTACCAGCCACAGACACTTCCCAGCCTAACTCCTAACCTACCTCCCTGCTCTGGAGACCAGCCTCTCTCACAGCCCAGGAGGATTCCCAAGCCCTCCTAAGCTCCTTGGAATCCAGGCCCAAAAACATGAGGCCCAGAGGGAAGCAACATCCCATTAGACCTGTCTAGGGGTAGCCTTCCCATCCCTGCCCAAGATGACTGAGGGAGGGCAACTCCATTCCCTGCACGGGGGAATCCCTATCTCTCCCTCTAAGGTTGTGGTCTTGCCCTGACTCCCCAGTGCCACTTTTCTCAGATGGCCCACATGCATTGGAATCAGCTGAAGTACATGGTAAAATGCAGATTCCTGGGTCCCATCCCAGATTCATTAAATCAGAGCATGGCAGTGGGGCCCAGAGTCTGCTGACAAGAGACTGCAACATCAGTGCATTCCTTGAAGGAGCCAGAAGTTTCTGGTCTTAAATATTATATATTGCAGGCATCAGTAAGACAGTCTGGACTGAGCTTCCCCCAACCTGTTACTCCCATGTGAAGAGGGTTGGGACTTAGCATTCTTCTTTAGTCTTCTGGGTCTCCACTCTTGACCTCTTCCTGCCACTCAAACAGGAACACACATTTTCAAAAGGTCTGTAACTGTGCAGGCCAATGTCGTCCAACACCTCAGAGAAGGAGCATTTCCCATCAGGAACGTGATCTGGGGGATGCAGCTCTGCCTACAACTGGGCCCCCTTGTACCTGACCACAGAGAACAACAGGGCTTTTTGGAGGCTCAGCTTCTCAAATGTCTTCATTTCAGAGATCTGCAAACAGAGTCTTTGCTTTCCATTTACATAACCAAATGGTTGGGTCAAGCGGTTTCATGAGACAGAGAGTAGTTGACACACACCACTGTGTAGACAGGAGGGCTGGCCTCATGGGAAGTGTGACCTCGTCATTTGTGGGGTAGTTGCACCCAGACAAAGGTATAAAGTGAGTGGCCCAGGCAAACAGGAATGGATGAGTATTCTCCTGGTGAGCCAGATGTGGTGGTTTTGGTTTTGCTTTTTGTTTTGTGGTTGGCATTGTATTTTTCAAAAAATTAAGCCACCATTTTAAAACCAAAAGTTTCAAATAAAAATCCAGATTTCTGGCCCTTCTGGAAAACTTCAGAAGATTGATACCATCAGGCCTGCCTCCTCCTGCACGGCAGCAGCGTCATCCCTGAGTCGAGTCGCAGCGGCACCCCCCCATCTAAGCTGGGGCACCTGCTCCGCAAGGCCTTCCCAGCCCCCACTCCCCACAGTGTCCCCCACAAGGCCAGGCCATCCCACCCCTCCTCCCCACGGTGTCCCCCACAAGGTCAGGCCATTCCCACCCCCCTACTCCCCACAGTGTCCCCCACAATGCCAGGCCATCCCACCCCTCCTCCCCACGGTGTCCCCCACGAGGCCAGGCCATCCCACCCTTCCTCCCCACGGTGTCCCCCACGAGGCCAGGCCATCCCACCCCCCACTCCCCACGGTGTCCCCCACGAGGCCAGGCTCCATGGGCAGTCATTATGCTATCTGCTCTGTTCTTTCCTTTTCCCAGCTCAGTGCCTCTCAGCCTGCCCGGCCCTGACACTGTGGCCTCACGGAGGGTAAGCTCTGGCCCACATGGAGGAGAATTCAGGTTGCCCCTCCTGAGTCAGAACATGAGCTCACAGCCAGGACTGGAGCACCTGATCACACTACTACCCAAATAACCACAAATAGACTCTTTTCCATGAAACGTTCAAGCCGTTTGGGAAGGAAATTTCTCCATGCCTTATGCCAACGACCTGGGCTAGCATTTTCTTGTGTTTCACCTGGATTTGGCCAACTGTGTGTTTCTCCCGGAAGCTTGGCACGCGCAGGGTGTACATACATTGTCACCTGACTTGTTCTCCCTCGTGGAGCCCACAAAGCCCACAAGCTGGGGATGCATGTCTGACGTGGGGGATTTGAGTATCAAGTCCCAGTGTCACTTACCCCGGACTATGTGTCCAGGGGAGCAGCCTTTGCTTCCAAAGGGAGCAGCTCATCCTTTGAGGTCCTCCTCATCCTCTCACTGCACAGGTGTCTCGGCAGGAGACAGTGACCTAGGGAACTGATTTTTAATACAGTTATCTTATATATGACCTTGTCACAAGCTTTGTGTATCAAGGTTTTGAAGGGTGAACGCACCAAGAGAGCAGGTACAGCCAGTGAGGCCCTAGGCAGCGAGCCCGGGGAGGCCCCTAATAATCTCCATTCTTTTCAATTTTTAAAACTAGATGAAAAAAGCTTAGAGATTTCAAATTACATTTAAAAACTAATAAGATAGAGCTCTGCTTCTAATTCTATTCTAAAAAGACACTTTCTTTACATGTTCCAATACAATGAAATTGATTTGGCATCTTACAAAACTTAAAATGTGATTTAATTAAGTGGCATTTTAAAAGCGTTAAAAGGCACCCGAATGTCTAGCTTGTTGAAACACAGAGCACTTTTGCTTTCAATTGGGAGCAAGCCGTGTTTCCTGTTTCCCCGCAGGAAGACAAATGTTCAAGAAGACATAAGACACAGGCAGGCAGAGGAGAAGAATGATGGCACATTTCTTTAGACCAAAAAAATGATTACATTTCCAAAGAGAAAGCTCTTCGTAATCAGTGACAGAGAAGGGCTAGGTCACATGGATGGATGACCTCTATGTCGAATCCTTGATTTTATTTTAAATGTTTATTTGAAAAGTAACCCCCCCAAAACTTATAAACACACACACACACACACACACACACACACACACACACACACAGACTCACATGCAAAGTAAAAATCAGTTCCACCACTGAAAACCTTTACCATGTGGAAGAAATGATAGTCCTGCAGGCCTCCTCCTTCCACCCACGCCACTCACCTCTCCAAGCCTGCCACCCAGAGGGACCCCTGTGACTTTTTCCAGTAATGCTGACTCATACATCATTTAACTCTGATCTAAACTGGAACACAGAACCCTGGGCACAGGCATCTCCCAGAAGCTTTATGCACTTGGGTTTTTCTTGGAATCCGTGAGCAATCTCGTCTCGCCCTTCTGCTCTGGTCATGGAGAGAAGGAGAGCAGGTCCCGGCGGTGGTGGTGGTGGTGGGTCTGCTCCAACAGCACAAATACAGGCTCAGGGGGTGTGTCGGAGGAGGGCAAGATGGTTGCCGAGTGGAGCCATTGTCCCAGTTCAACACTGAGGCTGCACAGCCTGAGAAGCGTCTACAGTCCTTAGAGCTAAAGTTACTGCAGCAAATGCAGATGGGAAAGCTTGCAATTTTATTTCTCAGCAGAAAAAGTTTTGATGGGAATCACCGTTCAAGGAGGAAGAAATTTCCTGATTCAGGATAGAATTCTTAGACAGTCAGCAAATGTTTTAGTCACATGGGAAGAGTCTCAACATAAACATGTTAAGTTAAAAAAAAGAGACATAACTGGGTACATACAATGTGATCCTAAATTGGTGAAATCAATTTCGATATATGTCTACCTCCTTATGAATATTCAGACATGAATAGAAGAAACCCAAATTGAAATATACCAAATGTTATCAAATTTATACTTTATCTGTATTTTCCCATTTTAGTATAATGAAAATAATGAAATTTCTCTTGTAGTAAAATGTTTATATGAAAACAGAGACAGAATGCTACATATATTATAACTTAAAGTGGTCCTTGAGAAAAAGGGACTAAATCTCGGGTTACTAAAGATGTGTGAAAAACCAGACACCAAGAAGAAGAATTTTTTTAGCCTCCAGTTCTCAGTAAGGATGATTAAATATTTCCAAAGAGTCCTAAGTGATTCGTAATCTCTGAAGGAAATCTGATAAATGAAGCTTGGGCTGAAAATCAAAATTATATCCCCTATTTCATCATGCTCAAGAAAGAACTTGCACAAGTGGTTTCATCGAGTCCCAGAGGCCTTTGAAGTTCTGGGGCGCAGGGGGGTCTGAGGCTGCCTGCAGCAATGGAAAGGATGGCTCCCTAGGTGCAGTGAAGCCGCAGGGAGCAGGGTGGCCGCCTCCCACAGGGATGTGGGCTCAGAGCTGGCTGGTGGCCTCCTGGAGGCTCTGAGAGCCCTTCTCTTTCAACACGGCGCCAAGAGTCTTCTGTGAAGGAATTCATCTTTCTTCTAAAAGGTATGATGTCTTCTTACCATGACTTCACATTTAATGTCATTAGATCAATATCTGCATTTCTCTCCTCTCCTTTACTCTATAGCCAAGAATATATGCTACAGTTTGGTGCATAGGACGTGAAAGTAGAAAGAACATCGTTTGACAAGGCTGATTTTTACACTGACCGTAACCAAAAACCTTCCTTAACTCCGCGGGGCTGTGTTTTCCTCCAGAGGGACAGGGGAGCCACTTTACCCTCCTGCCCTGGCCTCTTTTGGGCCCTCTTCAGAACAGCCTGTTGGAAGGCAGATAATTTTCTTGTTTTAAAGAGAATGACTGAAGATTTGACTTTAGGTAATTGTATATTAGCATTTTAAATATTATTCCATTGGGAATAAGAAATAAATCTGCAGGAATAGCCAGGTTTCCAAATACTGACATTAACTTTGGCTTCAGATTTTCAAAGGCCACTGTTCTGCCTTCCCCCACCCTCCCCTCTCCTGCCCATCTTTAATTTTACCTCTTCCTTGCTCTTCGCTTACTACAGAATGGAATCTCAGATGCTTCTGGCAACTATGCGTTATTAGGAAGGGATGGTGCTTTGTTATTAGATTGCATTTTATTATTTCCTTCAGCTCAACGCGTACCTGATATTGGAGGGCTCTCCCTATGGGTAGAGATTGAGAGATGAGCAAATGATGTGGTTTGATTATTTTTGTGGGCCCCGTGTCCTCGCAACCAGGTGAGAAACTGCATGCCATGCAGGCTGAAGGGCAGGCTGCTGTCGCCGCGTTCTGACTGGTAGAGTCCAGCATCCAGGCCCAGAATGGCCGCTTTTGTTTGCATCCCAGGACAGCCGGAGACAGCTGTTGTTCTGTTGACTTGACAGGCCTGTCCCGCTGAGGAGATCAGCAGGCATTTAGCACGGCTATCCTGGCTTCTTTGCACAGTGGGTCTAGTTTACCATCACCTCCTAGGGAAACAGACATAATTTTTTTTGGTCAGCTTTATATACAATTTCATGTCATGTAAGATGTATGTACAGCTTCCACTAGGAGAGCATTTTCAAAGTACACAGGCATGTAAATTTTTAACTAGCCTTTAGTAAAGTATTAGTGGATTGCAAAAGCTTTACTTCTGAGCAGAGTGAGGGATGCATAATGCCAGCCTTCCAGACCAGAAGGTCTCCAGGGCAAAGAAATTCTTAGAATGCTGCTGATAAGGCCATGTACTGCTGGCATATCGGCTCTAATTTTCTTAGCAAGCCTAGATAGAATAATCAAATGGAAAAAAACATTTTGAAGGCAAATATAATAAAATACATATTATTAAAGGGCAAAAAAAAAAAAAGAAAGAAAAAACCCAAAAAACCTATTATCCCTAAATTCCCATCATATCATTTGAATCCTAGGGCTAAAAATTCATTTTCTTTCTGTTCCCTCTTCTGTTTCCAGTGTTCCGGGAAGAAGCCCAGAGCTTCTAGCACCTTATTGTGCGCGGTCTAGGATGCGATCATTCATGTGCCACAGAGCACAGGGCTTTAAGTAAGAATTTAAGACTCAGAAACAAACCCAATTTGAATTTCGGCATGACACACTCAGCACTTCAACTAGAAACTGAAGTGCCTCAGAGAAGGCAAAATGCTGGTTGGAACTCCAAGTTCCCAACTTACCGAACTCCAAGTCTTTGATGTTGCAGTGGAAGACAACTTCCTCATTCACCACGAGTTCTACCGTGTTCCAGTCTTCCACCTTCTCTAGGATGACCTGGTGTCCATCTTCTGCCAACACAGCTGGAAAAGATGGAGAAGCATGTGAGTGAAATGGGAACAGACTCCAAGTTAAGCAGATATGCAGACATCCTTAGGGATGACAGCAGCTGGTCTGTAGGCCAGTTGATCACGGCTATAACTCAAGCGCCCTGGTGGCACCTGCCTGGTGCTGGTCCCCATGTGCCCTCACCTTTGCTGGGAAGCACAGCCAGAGGCCTGAGCAATTCAGGATTTGGTTGTGATTTGCCCCTGAGCCACATGATCTGTTAAAATATGAGCTTTTCTAGGAAGAGTTTTTTTAGCTTTCCTTATAGAGACGATATTCAATGTTGGAGGGGATGCAACAAATTAGGTAACTTCTTACTTTGCTGATGGAAACATAAATTGGTCACCTTTCTGGAGGGCAGTTTGGCAGTACGTGCCAAAAACCTCAAAAGCTTTAAAAAAAATTAGAATTAAAAAACGATTCTAATCTCTGGCCCAGGAAATTGTACTTACAAGAAAGCTTCCTAAGAAAAATATCAGAAATACAGGCAGATTTTCGTGACAAGAGGTTCCTTTCTGTAGTATTATAATAGCAAAATACTGTGAATAACTTATGTGCCCACTAGTAAGAGGATGGCCAAGTAAATGGTGGTAAGTCCACATGATGAGATTTTATTTGGACATTTCAAAAACATGTTTATGAATTTCTTTACTAGCAAGATAAATACTTGTACTATAAGCAAAAAAATCAGGGTACATATATAGCATATATTAAAATATATATTCAATATTAATTAAAATATGTATACGTAATAGGAAAAAAGGAGAAAATACCCAGTGGTTATCTCTCTGTGGTAAGATTATGAGAAACTTTTTTTCTCTTTATTCTTTTAGCATTTTCCAGATCTTCTATAATAATCAGAAAAAAAGGTTTTTTTTAAAAAGCTAAAGGACTAAGCTTTTTTCTCACCTCTGGACTCTGCATTTTGGTTATTACTTAATTCAATGGCTCCTTCCCTAAAGATCAGCTACAGAAAAGTGGCTAGATTTATTCTCTATTATGGAAATGCGAGAGTATACAGATTTAGGAGAAATGATGGGCATTGAACAGCCTGGGGCTCGATTTTCTCCAACATGTTTCTCCCTGGTTTTCTTGCTATGTTCACCCTATAACATTGTGTTAGAGTTGGTGTGTGAAATCACCACCTTTGGCAGTCTTCATACACCAGTGAGAATTTTGGTTAGGATGGAAAATGAAATCTAGTGGGGGGCATGTTTTTAAGTCTTAGCATTTCAATCAGTCTTACAGGGGAAAAGCAGACAGTTATGTCAGTTAATTGCATTTAATTACAGAGACAATTGCTGTTTCAAAATGTTGGTGTGTCCACTTCATCTTTCAATCAGTTCAAGAACATCCAGCCCCAACTGTGAACATTTTAATTGCATGATTTTAATTTCACTTCTGGAAAGGAACTTCAGAAAGCAACTCAGCGAGGATCTCCATTAACAAGATAGCGCTCCTTGGGCACCCAGTGGTGGCCCTAATTGACCTTGCATCAGCTAAAGCCTCTCTCTACAGAACACCCGCATCTTTTCTTTGGCATATTTATGCTATTGTATCCTATTTAAGTGTCTTGTTCTTAAACATCTTTGGAGGAAGGCACTCGTCTTGGACCAGTGACTTGTTTAAATGAAGAAATGCATCCAGTTTGGAATGGCCAGTGGATTGTCTAGGAAGCGTAAAGGCAGTCCATAGGCAGAGATTTCTGGGGATCATACACGCCCCCAGCAGTGCCCCCTCAGGGGAGGGGAGGTGTAGCTGGAGAGGGCAAAGCTGCAAGTGGGTAGGTAGGAGGCAATTCGGTCTCCACGACCTTGGCTTTACATTGTCTGAAGACATTCCTGGGAAATGTACTTCAACTTGACAGGAATAAATCGGGAACAGAATAGCTTCTCCACTCCCACCTTACACCTCACCTCTGGGGGCATGGGCTGCCTCTATCCTACTAACAACCAACACCAATTCTCTAAGGCCTGGGGTTCTGGAGCGAAAGAGGGCGCAGGTTCTGTCTGGGGCTGGTCCCTGTGACCGCAGTGTAAGTGAGGAGGGGCTCTGCAGGAGGAGCCCCGGGAAGGTGTGCACCCCGCAGCCGGCCGTGACGCTTTCCCTGCAGGACCCGGTCTGACCGAGCCTCATGCCCAAGTAGCATCTGGGTTTGGGATTTGTTTTATGAGAACAGTGGTACTCTTTCATGGCAAGCTGTATCTAAGAAACAGGATTTGATCCACTGAATCACCCATCCTATGGAGGTGGATGTACTGAATAATGGGGTTCTGCCTCATATCTCAGCAAACAGGGTCCAACAGGAAGAAATCCTCTTACGAGAGCATACCACTCCTCACTTTACCTTCTGTACAGTCGCAAAGCATGGGGCCTTTAAAGGGCGTGCATCTCCCTCATTGACGATAATCTGTCCCAGGTGCCCAGTGTTAATACAGTTTGTTGAATAAACAAGCTCATAATGGTGCTGGGAACCTCCAATGACTCTTTTGGACCCTGAGTGACCTAAGTCTGATTCCCATTAAAGCAATAAGCCACCTCAGAGGCTACATTGTACACTCACCCTCAAGAAGCCTGCCCCCTCCCTTCTCATCAGTCCAGGACGTGTTGAGCCCAGCTCTAGGGCAGCCAGTGCAGGCTTAAGGGATCAAACTCGTTGAAGCACCAGAATTCCTGCAGCTCATCCAAATGCCACCTCTCTCCATGGAGGACCCATTTTTCCTATGAGCTGCTATGGGGCTGTCTACTCAAAGAAAGGTCAGATAAATATACTCCATGCAACAAAGTCTTTGCAAAGGCAGTGGCTAAACTCCAGCATAAATCAACCAGAAGCTGTAAGGCCACCCGCAGAACGCCTGCCTCTTTGAAGTGGCACCTCATTCTTCAAGGGGGATCTGGGTAAACTGAAGGGACACAGAAAAGCCTCCCTCCTCTCAGTGCGGGCGGAACTGGGCACCATCTGTGAATGATTTAAATGCTGCTGGTTAGGAAGTCAAGGCAAAGAGACAGACAGGCATCTCCCCTCCTCCGCTGGGCACAGACGCAATGCCAATGCCAATTAATGTGTGCAGCTAATGCATAGCTAGGGACGGAGGATGACACACAGAGTGGTTTAGCTAAATAAGGGCGGATTCTCTTTTTATGTGTCATTTTCAATTCTTTCTAGTTCCTTCTAGTGAGTCATTTGGGAGACTTATGTACAGCAGGCAAGGAGCAACCATAGCCAGGGAAATTACTAACTTTTTATTAAGTGTTAGTTGGTTTAGTTTCATCAGTATTGAGGCCAGAGCAGAGACATTTTTGCTGAGCTATTATAATTTGTGGGTAATAAAGAACAAAACTTTTCAGATTGCTTAAGGCATAGGAAGTTCACGAAAGATCAGGCATATTTCCAAAACCAGCAGGGCTTCAGGAAATGATAAAGGGCTATAATTTTTAAAGAAACACATAGAATTCAGATGCATATTTCACAGGTGAGGGCCTGTTAATGCACCCCTCTGTGCTTGTTATGGTGGCTCTGTTGGGTCTAAAGTGGTGGGTGGAGTGTGGGACAGAGAGGGGGGAGCAGATGCTCCTTACTTGGCTTCTGCTAACAGCCTGGCATTTGTCCTCGGCCCTCAGTGAATGTTGGCTGCCAGTATTAAATGCATTATCATTCAGGGATATGCAAAGCTGACTTGGAAAATCAACCACCTGCTGATACCTTGCACTACTTAAGTCTCCTTCAACCATAAAAATTCTCCCCTTGAGCTCAAAATATGCCCTCCCCTCCCCTACAGTGGGAAGAGCTGTCTGTGCCCTTTGCTTCCTCGTCTCTACCCACTCCTTTACCTCCTGCAGTCGGAGCTTTCAGCCCACCTTCTCCCGAACCCGCGCTCTCAGAGGTGAAGAGCCATCAGCGCATTCAATGGCTCACCCGCTTCCCCCCAACCCTCCTAACAGATTGACTCTCTGACCTATCGCCTTTCTTGCTCTTTTAAAATACTTTTGCTGGTAAAAAAAAATACATTTTAAACTTTAAAATTTTATCAGATTGTAAATGTAATGCAGACCCATGATTTTTAAAAAATCTTAAAAATTATTGAAAAGTAAAGGACAAAATTTTTAAAATCACCCGTAATTCTTCTCCCTCCCCTTCCCTTTGTCTTTTTCAATGGAAGCGGCTTCATAGCGTACATGGAATTCAGGCACATGCTTCAGTTCGTGAACACGATGTCATGGTGATCTAGCCCTGTCAATATGCATAGATCTGCTGCACTGCATTCCACGTGACGGATGTACTGTAATTTATGCAGCCATTCCTTTTTCTGGTTGTTTCCAATTTTTCACTGTCACCAAGAATGCTGCAGAAAACACTCACGGGCATGCCTCCCTGTACATTTGCGAATATATCTTATGTATATACGGAAGAAACTGAGAAATGGAACAGCTGCATTGTACAATATGTGGTTACATTTTAAGACACTGCCAAGTTGCCCTCAAAAGTTACTGTGCCAATTTACCCTCCCATCACAAGTCTTTGAGAACACTCTTTTTCTATGTCCTTCATCAACCGTAAATTCATCTTTTTCTAGAGCTAACTCCTGCTTAACAGTTTGGTGCCCATTAGCGATTTTCTTCTTGAAATTCTCATCTCACTTGCCTCCTGTGCCTCCAGGTTCTCTCCTACCTCTGTGCCCCTCAGAGGGACCACTGCCAATTCCTGCCATCTGTCCGGTTCTGTCTTTTCTTGCTTCCTCTGCAGTCTCACCTCCTGTGGTTCCAGCATTCAGCTCCATGCAGGTTCATTTTAACTAATATTTATCGATCTTTAAGATGTGTCAGGCACAATTCCAGACAGTGGGACACAGCAGAGAACAGAAGAGACAAGACTCCCTGCTCCCCTGAAGCATACATCCCAGTAGGAGAGATGGATAACAAGGTAAATAGGTGAAATATATCTTATGTTAGATACTCATGAGCATTAAGAAGAAAT